TTTAATTCATTTGATCTGCATCAAAACTATGAGGTGGGGCCGGGCGCAGTGGCTCACGCCTGTAAACCCAACACTTTGGGAGGCCGAGGCAGGCAGATCACGAGGTCAGGAGATCGAGAACATCTTGGCTAACACAGTGAAACCCTGTCTCTATTAAAAATACAAAAAAAAAAAAAAATTAGCCAGGCGTGGTGGTGGGCCCCTGTAGTCCCAGCTACTAGGGAGGCTGAGGGAGGAAAATGGCGTGAACCCGGGAGGCAGAGCTTGCAGTGAGCCCAGATTGTGCCACTGCACTCCAGCCTGGGTGACACAGCGAGACTCCATCTCAAAAAAAAAAAAAAAGAAAGAAAGAAAGAAAAAAAAAAAACCTATGAGGTGGAAGTTTTCATCCTTGTTTTAGGTAACTTGTCCAAGATGACACAGCAAATAAACCACGGGGTTATGATCAAATAAGGCAGTTTGACTCCAGAATCTGCACTCTTCATCATTATGCTAGGCTGCTGCTGGTGAGGAGTCAGATGATCAAAATGTTTTAATTATTTCAATAGGTAGATAAAAGTGGCAAAATGATGGGAAAAAATAAAAATTGAAACTGATTTTCAGTCTGATGTCACTTGTCCTGGGAATAGCTTTTATTTGTTTGCTTGTTTTGAAATGGTGTCTGTCTACTACAGGTAATTATGGGGCACTTCTTACAACCCCTGGGAGATATCCTTCTTTACTACTATACATAGACAGTCCTAAAGTCAAATTTGGAGAAGAAGCAAATGGCAGTGGAAAATGAAATAAACCCTGTACAGCATGGTAAGTCTAGCTTTCCTTCTGTGGTCCAAGATGATTCCCATCCAATATGATTAGGGTACAAAAAACATATGATATAATAGGTAAATCAAAATTTTATGATAGTATTTAAAATCATAAATATAAAGAAATATAAGACCGTTGTTCTGGCCTGGCACAGTGGCTCACACCTATAATCCCAGCAGTTTGGGAGACCAAGGCAGATACATCGCTTGAGCTCAGGAGTTTGAGACCAGCCTGGGCAACATGGGGAAATCCAATCTCTACAAAACATACAAAAAATTAACTGGCTGTGATGGTGCACACCTATGGTCCCAGCTACTCGGGAGGCTGAGGTCGGGGGATCACTTGAGCACAGCAGGTTGAGGTTGCAGTGAATCGAGACTGCACCACTGCACTCCAGCCTGGGCGATGATATAGCTAAGACTGTTTCAAAACAACAACAAAAGACTGTTGCTCTATTTTGAAAAGACTTAACTACTGAACTTTCCTTTGAGTGTAAGATTAGAGAGTGTTCATAAAAGAACACCTAACCTTTTCTTTCAAGATGACTGTTCTCACTTGAGCCAGCTTAGATGTGGCCAGGAATGGCTTTACATCAGGGCAAATCAGCAGAGACCTGCCCTGGGCACGCAGCAAATGTTTGTTGAGTGATCTTTAGGCAAGGCAATGCTGCAAGAGTAAGGCAAAGTAATAGTAAGATGAACCCAGTGACTGACCACTCCAAGAATTACAGTATGCCGGAGTTGGACAGGGCTTAAAGATCACAGGACTAACATTCTTGGAAACTAAGGCACCCACCACTCACCTTGTGTAGAGAAAGCACTCATATTCCAGATTCCTGCTCAAAGGATATTATTCAAGATGACTAAGTCTTTCAGAGTGGTCTTGAGTGAGACCTACAATCCTGAAGAAATAGTCAAATCAAATCTCAAAACCATATTTAAAAACTAGTATAAGGGGTAAACTAGTACAAAGGAATCAATCTTGTGCCATTTGCACAATCTGTTAGCTGCAATGTGAGGCTACCTTCAGTCTTTACAAGTGATCTCTAACTATTAAAAAACAACAAAAGCTATCATAACCAACAGGAATGTAAGACAGATATATGGGTGACCTGAGCCCTTTACTTATGTCATAGAAGGCAATAAATATTTTACTATAACTCTGCTGGCCTTAAAACAAAACAAAACCGTGGCTCGGCATTGTGACTCATGCCTATAATCCTAGCACTTTGGGAGGCCAAGGCAGGTGGACTGCTAGAGCCGAGGAATTTAAGACCAGCCTGGGCAACATAGTGAGATCCCGTCTCTGTGTTTCTTTAAACCCAACCCCCACAAAAATCTGTTAGAAGCCTGGATTTGATGCAGGGGGCTAGATTTTATGTTGGTCTGTATACGATTGCTAAATGCCTTCTCCTCTCACAAGACTATAAGTGTAATAAAGGTAATGACTGTATTTGTTTTGTTCCTCACAGTGTCCTCGCTCACCAAGCACCCTATAATGCCTGGTATATTATAGGCGCTATTTAACAATGTTTTATCTGGCTGAAAACTGGCTCTATTTTTTTTAGGGGATCCATCCTTCATCTTGCTCCTTAAATTAATTCAAGATTCTTGAAATTAGGCAGGTGTGGTGGCATGCACCTATAATCCCAGCTACTTGGGAGGCTGAGGTGGGAGGGTCGTTTGAGCCCAGGAGTTTGAGAGCAGCCTGGGAAACATAGTGAGACCTTGTCTCGAAAAACAATGAAGGATTATTGAAACTCTAAAGGAAAAGGTTCCGCTAATTCCATTTCAGGGGAACTGAAGTACATGAGTTAGCTTTCACATTATTTCAAGTGAGAGAGGAAGAGACCACTAGACTTGGACCTACTTAAAAACAGACTTCAAATTTTCCCATAAAACCTTCCCAGTTTGTTCAGGAAAAGCTAAAGGCTTCGCTGGGCCCAATCCAGTGATTATCCTGTGATCTCCATGTCTTCTTATCCTCTAACATCTCTTCTCTTTAAAACACACTTATCTGAAACAGAATCTGACATGTGTTTTTATCACCTTACAGTCTTGGTTGGAAATCTTTATGCTCCCCACACAGAAGCATTACTATAATGGCTCTATTCTAGATGCTTAATTCCCAGAGGGGAGCTTTGGCCTGTGCAGTGTACTCATAGGCTTGAGAGGGAAAGTCATAATATTAGTCCTTTCTAGCGTTGGCAAGAATGGTAAAGATGCTGTGTTTCCAAAGGTCAATCTCCAAACACAGTATCTAGCATAACACTATAAAACTCGGTAGGTAGCCAATCCTTACTGAAGGTGATAGCAGGAGAAAGGAGAGGAGAACAGTTTGGGGGAACTTGATCTTCCTACTCCACAAGAGCAATGCTAGGTCTTGGGTCTAGAAATGGTTAATTCTCCAGCAATGCTTGCAGCCTTTCATTTTGCAATATGCAGTTGTCACTCTATAAAGTCAATCCAAACATGAATGAACACAATGAGAACCACATGACTTGTACACCAAAAAAAAAGTAGTCTTACAAACAACACTTGTAAGAAAGCCAGAACAACCTACAGAGAAAAAATAAAAGCTTGTAGTTTTTACATTTTGAAATAATCATACTTGTTGGAAAACAGCACTTCCCTTATTTTTTTGTGAGATGGTTTTAAAAGATATGGAGATATTTCAAGATGAAAATACAATAAAATAACAACAAGAGAAACAACCTTATACTGTACCTTTCCTTCAGCAAATCATACGCTGTCTGACAGTTTCTGGACTCCTTTTTTCTCAAAGCAACATTACTTCAAAACTGATTTTTCATGTGGCTTTGCAGCAAGTTTAACTTTTCATAAACCATTTCTTGCTAAGCTTTTCTTAGCACATTTACTCAATTCCATACTTGAAAGCTACAATGCATTTCAATAACTGAAATGCATGGGATATTATTCTAATATTAAACTCAAAAGGAAGCACCGAGACAGTCCTGTGGGCACATTACTGCAGCCAAACGTGATTCATGAAGGCACTGATACTCTATAAAAGTGGTTTCAAATATCAATGTATACAAGACTAATGGAATATTATCTAACCAGTCAAAATAGGCTGAACCTCATTCCTGATGCTATATCAATGCCAATAAAATTAGGAGTCATATAACAAAAGCATATGGACAGAAAACAGCTTTCTTTTATGTAAAATTCAAGTGATGGTCAAGAAGTAAGATGCACTACAGTATTTCTGATGGGTCAATGGCAAAGGTCTGGAGAAATATATTCCAGGTTTGGAGTCTTTATGGGCCAGAAACTCTGTCTCATAATTCCCAAATGTGACCAAATGGGAGGAATATAGGTTATTGCTCACAAGAAGAAGACAAGATGGGTCAGCATGAATACATCGCCAGCACCAGAGGCACGGGTCAGAGCATAGCCCCAGGGAGGTGGCTGCTTAGTGGGAACATCTTCACATATGACACATTTTTGCATCCTTACCTTTAATTATTCTTTGGTATTCTTTTTCATCTCTGAAAAAAAGGCTATTTTAACAGCAGTTTGTAATATGAGATTCTTTTACCCACACTAAGAAAGATAAGTGGTAATGCAATGGCAGGTGATAACGCAATTATGAAATGATGATGTATATTTCATTTTGAAATGCAGTATACGTTTCCTTTTTCTTTTGCAGGAAGACAGTTCTGGGATCCTAGGAGCATCCAATTTGTATTCATAATTTCATTTGAGTAAGATTAACATTTAACATTAAATAGTTTGTAGTCCCTTGAGCTCAGAGTACAGTTGAGATACACACACACACACACACACACACACACTCTCTATTATCTCTCACTCTCTCTTCTCTCTCTTTCTCAAGCCCTGGATATCAATTCAAAATTTGAAAATATATATAAAATATATATTGTATGTGTATGTGTATATATATATATTTTATATATATATATACACATACACACACACACAACCCTAGAACTTAAAAACTCATTAAGAATCCACAAAATAGATACCCACACAGAGATAACCCAGAGAGACTTCCTTAACTGTGGCTGCTGGCTAACCCAGTTGATAATAACAAATACAAAGTATCCTTTTAGCAATAAGAGAGTCTTTTTGCTGCCCCAGACAAAGCTTTCCAGCTTGCTCCTTGTCCTTTGGAATTCTAGGCTGACCAACACTAAGCGGAAGCCTCACCTGGGACTTCAGGAGAGAATCTTGCAGAGTGTCGAGACACAAAAAGTTTGAGTTCTTGGTCCAAGTTGCATTCAATCAGGTTTGTGTCCCATGATCGGATTCCTAGGGAGGGAAAGAGAGTTGAGAGACTTCCAGTTAGTCATTTCAGAGTGGTTTGGACAACATCACCGTAACATTTCTCAGGCTTTCAGGGAGGATGTGGGAACTCCTTTTCTGAAGAGCTCGGTGGCTTAGCAGTGGATGCCCACAAAATGGGAGGGCCAGGGAGGTCTCTCCACCAGGCCACAAGGGAGGGATAATTAGCAGTGCGGACTGAGCTTCTGCCCCTCATAAAATGTAAATGCACCTCTTCTGGAAGAGTCAAAGAAAACAGTTATTAGGAAAATGACAGGCTGTACTCCAGGGAGGGGCTAGAAAGGGCAGGAAGAAGGTTAGTTCTTAAGAGGCTAAGAGGCCAACAGACTAACTCTAGCTTGTAGACAGACTATCTCCACTTGTAGGTGGCAAGAAAATGTAGAATGAAGGCGAAGAAAATATATGGGGGCTGCCATTCAAGCACGGGCCTTTCTTTCTAAAATGATGTAATGGTAGTATACACGTGTAATTTCTTTCCTTTACCCATCCCATTTTTGATTTTGGTTTATCAAGCCCTGGATATTAATCCAAGATTTGTGTGATCTTTGATAAACAGGGTGGATCCACTCAATCTTCGAGACTTGGCCTGTCTGTCCTTCCAGGCATTTTTCTGTTACCTGAGTAGCTTGGCAGGCAGCTCTTTTATTCACAATTGTTCTTTGTATTCAATTTTCTTATCCAGAGGCAAAGAAAAATGGCAACTTTTTATACTTTATAAAACATTTATGAAGTTGGGGGCATGAATCAGCTGTTTCTACAAAAGTTCAGACTTCCTTTCCCTAGGCTGAAAGGAATATCCGGGGTGAGAGGTACAGGAGGGCAACAGGTGGGATGAGAGCAGCTTCCTGTGCTCATGCCCTCCTCTCTAGCCTCTTCCTTCCTCCTCCTGCCGTCCTCCTCTCTCCTGCCATCCCAAAGGGGATGGCCCAGAGGGAAACCCAGAGAGCATCATAGAAGGGAGGTCTGGAGAGTAAGCCAGGGAAAGTTGGGGAACCCCAGAACTCTGGGGTGTGTGTGTGTGTGTGTGTGTGTGTGTGTGTGTATGTGTGTGTGTGTGTGTGCGCGCGCGTTACATGTTTACATATTATATATTAGATTTTTCCTAACAGATTACTCATGGTGGAGCCAGTGTGTGGTATCCATCATTGTACCTTTGTATAGAGCATTCTCAATAGTCAGGAACAAATCTCTAGAATAACAAACATTTATTGCACACCTCCTAAAGTAAGGGCTTGAACCTCTAGGTATAACACAGCAGGTGAACTATCTCTAAATTAACACCCAGTCATTTAATCATTTTTGTTGGACATTAGTCATGTATACAGACTTGGGGGAATAAATAGCAGTGTGTTACTTAAATACACACTGGATCCTTAAGGCATATTTGTATTTACCCTAGGTTATGTTGTATTCAGTCTTCCTATCCTGTAAAGAATCAAGGTGGATTATACATATATATTACAAAAAAAAAAAAAAAAGATTCTGGAAACTCAGTTCACTGCACATCTAAAATATCTTTAGATGACATACCACAGGCCCTTTCAACCATGAGGAATATTTTCAAAGAGATGTGTGTCCACTAAATAAAGGCAGAAATTTCTCATATGATCACTGGGAAGAATTCAGGTGTGGAAGAGTTAACATGCTTAAGGAGAGGTTAAATTATAAGGGAGAATTTTATGGCTCTCCCTGGAAACATTAATAGCCTCAGTTTGCATTTGGGCTAATGGAGTATTTAAATTTTAACAAGAAAGGCATGTTGAGATTTCACAGATCTTTTTAGTGCAGAAATGATAAATGGGTTCTTTTTGTTTCACAGGGAGCCTGACAGGTTGAGAGGTCTGAATTCATTAGAATATTTTACTTCAACATATACACTATATACTAGTCTAGTGCAAAAAAATCGAGTTCCTGTCTGAGCTGCTTAATTGGTATTGTTGACTGAATTCTCTGTGTTCCAGCTCTGAGCTCCACTTTGTCTTCTACCCTGTCAAGCTGGGTCAATAAGTTAATAATGAGACATATGCATTTAAATTAAATTCATACAATTTTTCTGTCTTTGTTCTAAGTAATATCTAAAGTGGTACATTATTTGAATGACTTCATCCAAGGTTATCTGCAGACTTGCTCTTACATTGTTACTTGCCATTTTCGCTTGGCTTCAGTTAACTTGTCATGACACACACAATTAAATGTTTGCTTTATATTTTCATACATATTTTATTTTTGATATATTTGTAATTTAGCAATAGAAAAAGTACTAAATGATAAATCCACTTAGTAATTTTTAAATTATACTAGTAAATGGCTGATAAAAATATTTCTCATTTTTACACTCCCAATGAAACTAAAAATGTAGGGTTCTTTTTTCAAGAGAGCAATTTCCACCCAAATTGTTTCTTAGCAATGCACAACCACTACTACCACTTATAACATAAAGGTTACGATGAATTTGCCAGCTATTTTAGTTGGAAAGGAAAATTTTGGAATCAGGCCACTTTCCATACCAATTTTAGAAATAAAATAATTTGTAATTACTTTGTATCTCCTGCTAGATAATATTGGTAAAGGCAAAGAGTAGTTGTCAACGAAGGTTCATACTGCATTTAGTGGGTTTATGTAGCTCCCCTTTGTGCCTAACAAGGAGCCAACAGCGAGCCCTCTAAAGTTCATAGGACAGAAAATTATCTTTGGCCCTTCCCATTTTCTCCCCTCTCTGAATCTGGCTGGAGGGCATCCTAGGGCGTTGGTGAAGAGGTTCTGAAGAGGCTTTCAGAAGCAGGTCATCCTGGCCTCTGTTGGAGAGGAGGGAAGCCCTCTTTCTGATTTCACCCCAATATGCCCCAAGTCAAGCTCTTCCCAGAGGCTTTGTTTCTCCAGCATTCTAAGACTGTACCCCTTCTGGGCTTACCCAGGTGGGGACAGAATAACTCCAGGCAGGTGGAGGCAGTGAACTCCATTCTTTCAATGTCTGGAGCCAAAAGGCATCCGTCATCTCTGAGAACAATCTGGGCCTGCTCTGTGGCTATTGCCTAGCCCTGAAAGTGAGCTCCTTGGGACCAGGGAGCAACAAAAGATCTTTCCTTCTCAGTTCTCTGACCCCAGGTGGTAGCAGTGCACACAAGGGAGGCTAACATGCACATGATATACACAGATGAGAAAAGGAGAAAAGAATAGGTTATGGGGCAGGGAGGCAGGGAGGGGTCATCACAGAACAAGTCAGGGTAAAAAATGAGTAACAGTCAGGTACTCTTGGTGTATCTAGGCTAGATTGCTCCAAGTTTACCAATCATGTAAGCATTTTACAGGATTGTTTAATGAAACCAACAATTTTAAAAAGCACTTCCCATTTAAAGGCTAAAATTCATATTTCTAAAGGTGACAGTAGATTGAGGAAAGCAAAATGAAATGACTATGCATTGCGTGTTGATGGCACGTGGGTTCTATCTGACAGTTATTTGGGCCCTTGGCAAATTGATTTTCCTTCATGGGCTTTAGTTGCTCCCTCTGAAAAACAGGCTTTTGGATATTTTTTCTAAGTACCTAAATGATTAACCTACAATCATAAGATTACATTTGCAAAACTATGCTAAAAGTGGTCTGAAATCAGATTGAAATCATAAACTACATAAATAAAGGAAATGCTACATTTAGGAATGCTTTATTTCTCAGAGGAAAAAAATTCTTATTTTTTTCCCTTGAACTCGTCTTTAATTTGCTCTTTTTTCTTTTTTTAAAGCCAGCAACTTGATGTTCATAACATATGTATGTAATGAAGATATATCTTACATACAGAGCTCATAGTTTCAAAGCATTGATAATAAATAATTTAGGTCCAAGATAACATCTTACGATAGAAGCAAATGAGAAGTGACTTATAATTATTTGCTTGTCTAAAAAGTTAGAACTTATTTTTTAAAGTAAGCCCTTAGAAAAGGTGAACAATTTAATGACCTTAAATTTGGGGACTGGCTTGTTTTTCAGAAGGGATCACAGAGCCCGTCGTAGATAACACCAATTAAGCAGTACAAGCAGAAATCCATCTGTCTTTGAATTTGAAAAGTATAAAGGCAAATATAGTAAATTTAAGACTCTCTAACATTTAATTCTCACCACATATGGTATTGGTTTCTTATTTCCCCTGCTAAAAGAAAAGGAAAACTAAAACCCAAATCTTTCCTGGGTTTTAAATTCTCTTACCATCTTAGACTGAACACATTCAACGAAGTGACATCAGAATGTTACAATGTAATCAGCTAAACTTTTATCTAAAAATGCAGAGCAGTAGATGTTACATTCATCTATCTTTTCTGGAACAAATCTTGCTGATTCCCAATGTCAACTAAAGGAAAAGTTACAATCTAACGGTAATTGAAAACATTAAACAGACACGTAGTATTCCTTATATGGTTTAGTTTCTTAAAAATAAAATAAAATGAAACAATGAAAACTTTCACAAGGTTCTACAATTCAGTTCGCAAGGCATGGATGTATGTACTCTATGTATTAAAATAAAACCAAGAAGCAGGACTTTGCTGAAAATGAGAACCACTAGCTAAATCCATGCTGGGGGCTAATTAGGGAGGAGAAAAAGGAGGTGCCAAAGAGTAGTAGTTGGTGGTAGCGAAAACGATTTGGAATAAAGTCCTGCATAACTAAATAAATGAAGCTAGCCTAGTCGGAGGAAACACTATTGTTCCAAACTCTGGAGGAGACAAGTCCAAAGCCTTCATTATGCTTTCCGAATATAGTTGAGAAAACAAGAGGGACCATCTCTCTTCCCTGGATTCAAGAAGCATTTACGAAGCATCCACACTGGGACGTTCCAGGCCTGTTGATTTACTGCATTACCACCATGTCTTTACAGATTTATAGATTATTTTCTAGGCTTCCCAGAGAGCCCTCAGTAATCAGATGGCAAGAATCCAAGTCACCAGGGTCTCCAAACCCAGAGTCTCAGTTAAGGCAGGAGGGGAAATAGGAAGAAAGAGTAACAGATGAAGAACTGCTTTCCCAGCCTGCAACACACAATCATCAGAGCTGGCTCCCCTGGAGTAGCTCCATCTTGCTTCACACAACACCGCCCAAAGGCACCAAGCAAAAACAGCAGTGGCCTCTGGAGGAGGCCCAGCTGATACCTGGCGGCTGAAGCAGCAGCTTGTCGTGTACAGGAAAACAGGACCAGCCTGCTCTGTTGCTAAGTCATCTCAGACTGTCTGAAAAGCTATGGGAGCAGGATTTTCACTTAGCACTGCAAGGGCCTGCATCTTGAGCTGCAGCCAAGACCCCAGGACGCAGGAGAGCCATCTCTTTACACTGCTACGGTGTGTAAAGAAATGGCTCTGCTCACTCACTTGGTTGATTCTTAATGGGATCAATACAGTCATTTCGGAGTTCCATGCAAAAACCTGACCAAATTAGGGAATTAAAAATCAGGAAGCCATGATGATTATTGCAAAGGGAACACAAGGGGGCTTCTGGGGTTCCAGTAATGTCTGTTTCTTGATCTGGGTAACCCAGGCGTGTCCGTTTTTGTGAAAATTCGTTGAGCTGCTCATCTTTGATTTGCGCCCTTTCCTCTCTATATAACACTTCAATCGAAATTTTAAAAACATTAATATCAAAAAGACAAATCTGAATTTTGTTACTAAGTGCTAGTAGTGTAAAAACGGGTAAAGGCAGGGAGTCCTACTTCATGGCAGTACATGGATGCGTCTGTTTTCTCCGTAAACAGATGCAGCTTGAATAAACCCTCTGAGGAATAGGGCACTGAAAGGATGATCAGCTGAGTAACAAAGCAGGAAGATAATTACAGTCCGAAGGTGATTGCGGAACCGTCTCCCAGCATGGGGCGCTGCCCACAAGTGGATGGCCATACAAAGGCAAGCCCTGAAAACTGTTGTGCTAAAACCTTCCTCCCATCATAGGATGTTAGCCGACCCTGCACTAACATCATGACAGGGTCAGAAAACAGTGACGCTGCAGCACTGGTACTTCTGTCACTTATGAGTGCTGTGACCTTGAGCCGGTTCTCTTACCCTTCTCGCCTCTTATGGGCCCCCAGCTCTAAAACGGGGTTCATGATCCTTCTCCTAGCACCACCACATCGAATGGTTATGAAGATTTTGTACATAGAAAAGCACCTCCTAATATATTCCTATTTCCCATAAGTGCCACTTACAAATAATTTTTTAAAGAAAAAAATCTAGTCATTGATTCCCACAATAGCCACACCCAAAATCAGTAAGTGTAAAATTTTTCAAGGAGAAAATTGTGCAAATAAACTAAATTAGAATAGATTAGACCAAAGGCCTACAGTCTGAAAATAAAGGGTTACTGAGATGCTCAAATAAGACATTTCACTATTGAAATATCTCTTGTTCTTGAATTTTTTGGAATAAAATACCATGACTTTCTGCTCACATTTTTTTTTTCTTTTTCTTTTTTCTTTCTTTTTTTTTTTTAAGCTGAAAGGGAAAAAATCAAGTGCTTTAAAGTTAAACAAAAGAACCAGGTCCGCAACTCCAGTCCCCACCCTGCAGCCTTTTGTTCTGGGGACAAGTGGCCGTTTCCAACTGCAGAGGCAGATGACAAGCATTTATTTTTTCATCTAAAACAAGGTTTTTCTTTCGTCTTTTATTGGGGAGGGGGAGCGGGGGACGAGGGCTGTGTGAACGCCCTTTGTCCGCCTCGGGCTGCCGTAGAGACCGCAGTGCGGACTGCACCACGCCCACCAACCGGTGTCTCCCGGAGAAACGCTTCAGCACCACCCCAAGAGAATAGAGCGCGGGCTGGGGCTGCGGAGAGACCCGGCGACCTCTGTCAGGGGCGAGGGGAGGGCTGGGACGCCGGGGATAAAGGGAAACGCAGAGACCAGAGCTGCCCACCCAGGGACTCCCGGCGCAACAAAGCCAGGCAAACTGAGAGGTGGGGGCGCGCGGCCCCCGCCAGCCCGAGGCCCGGGCGGAGCGCACGCCCAGCCAGCCGTGCCCGACGGGGGCGCCGCAGTGTAGGGGGCGGGTGCGGCGGGCAGTCCGGGGGCACTGCGGCAGCTCGGGTGGGGCTGGGGGCGGGTCTCTCTGTGCGCCCGAGGCTGTGCCCGCCGGACCCTCACGGCCCCGCCCAGGGTACCCGACGTACCGCTATTCGGCCTCCGCAGAGCGCGCCACTGGTGCGCGCACCGGGCAAGGAGCTGACCCTACCCGCTGACGTCTCCCCCACCGACCCCCTTCAAGCTACCACTCCCGGGGCTAAGACTTCTAAAAGCAGCAGCCCCACCCCACAACTTGGGGTCCCATTGTCCTTTCTGAGAGCTGCAGCCAAGGCCCCAGGGGCGGTAGCGAGGCGGGCTCTGTCTGGTGGCGAAGCGCAGGCGGTTCTGCATCCCAGCATCTGGGCGGGGGGGGGGGGGGGGGGAGCGGGCGTGGCCCTAGGACTAGCCTAGTCATTCTGAGGAAAGAAAGGATCGGGATGTTTGAAATCAGAAAAGGCGTTTCTCAGGGGCTGAGTTAGCTGTGGTGAGGCTGAATCTCACGCGGGCCCTGGCGCATGGGACTTCGGCCCCAGGTCTGCAGTGGGGGGGTCCCAGCCTTTTCCTGAGGCCAGAAGGGGACTGAAAGGAGTGGTTGCATCAGGTCTCCCCCACCCTTCTGTCTCCTGCGGTTGCGGCTTTATTGTGGCCTCTGCTCCCCTGACACCTGCATTTCACTTAGCGGGAGAGGCGGTGGCCAACTCAGCAGAGGCTGCGGACCCAGCGTAGTGACAGATCCCTCAAGGTTACTGGAGACTCTCCCTCTGGGTCTCATATCTAATAATTCGGATTATTCTTAATTAGCCCAGAAAAGAGTCTGGACCAAGTATGAGAGGTGGCGGGGAGAGGCATGGGTGCGGGGCGCGCGGGAGGTGCGCGGTGGCCGTCGCGCCCTGGGTGGGGTCGTGTTTGCGCGTCTCCCAGCGTGCGTCCCTGGGGGCGCCGGGCCACTTACCGAGCTCTATGTTGCCGATGGCGCGCCGCAGGTGCTCCTCGGTCACGATCTCGCCGACGACCACCAGCAAGTAGAACTTGCTGTCAAGGAAGCGGTGCGACAGGCTGGGCGAGGTGGACGCCGCCGGGTTGGCGATGCTGCCGGACGGCTCCGGCTCGGTGGCTTCCACCACCACGGTCGCCATCCTGCCGGCTGCTGTGCCTGGGCGAAGTGTCTCGCTCCGGCCGCTCCTCTCCTCTGCGGCAGGAGAAAGGATTATCTCCGAAGGTGCTGTCTCCGCTCCGCCCCCTGCGTCCCCCCTCCTCTGGCGCTGCGCGCCGCCTCCCCCTCCGCCCTCTCCTAGCGCCGCGGAGAGTGCGCGGCGGAGAGGAGCGGGGAGTGAGAGAGGGCGGGGAGGCGGCGCTGCTTTTATATGGAGACTAGGCAGGGAGCCGGGGAGGAGGAGGAAGAGGAGGAGGAAAGGACCACCCGGCACATCCTCACGCGGTGGCTGCCTCCGCTCTTCCAGCCGTTGGCCCGAGGCTGATGTCATCTGCAGCAAATCATCTCGCCGGCGGCCCGGAAGCTGGAGGGAAGAGGTGTGCGGACAATGGTCGGGGCAGCGCCGCGAGCCAAGGGGCTTGGGAGCCCGCTGAGCTCCTGCTGCAGCCTCGAAGGGGGAAGACGCTCTCAACCTACACCACCCACCACGTACACACCCACTGCCCACTCCTCACCCTCACCCTGTCTGTGCATGGGACTGGAATGAGTTTCCATTTTCATAGTGGGGTCTTTCTGTTATCCGAGTTGCACTAGTCAGGCCTCTGGTTTGTGTGCCGTCTATGATGTAGCCAGGTTCTCAGGAACTGGGATAGCCACAGTGGGCACATGCGGGGCTGTGGGTACCCCGCCTATGAAGGTGGAACCTGTCTTTTCTTTGACCTTGTGGCTTTAAGAAGACAATTTACTGATATTTACCAATGTCGATATTTACTACCTTCACTTAAAGAATACATCAAAAATGCAAAACTTAAGCCTACTATTGTTCAGGCCTTGGATTCTACTCTGGCAGGGCCAAGGGTGAAAAAGTACTGGCTCATGGTGCTCATGGGAAATGAGAGAAATGTAGATGTATTATATTAGATACCGATTTCTTTCCTTAATATGCTGAACAGATAGTATCAGTAATAACAAAGAATAAAAAGAAGATACTGTCTCTACCCAGCAGGGTTACCGTGACTATAATGTACTTTTCAGTTCCTTGGGGAACACACAAGCAAAATTATCTCAAGTGACAATGATGTCTTTTAAAATATATGTAGCATTGGGAATTTTTATTGCCTTTGTTTATGTTTATAAGAACTCATAAAAATGTGTTTTGTTTTGTTTTGTTTTTTTAAGGCAGCCTATTTACAACCATTTCTCACAAACATACTGAATATAGCTTCTGTCCCATAAAAGGGGAGGACGGTGAGGAAAGAGCAAAATGTGCAAACATGGTATCATCATAGAAGTCTGGGGAATTCGAGCTTTAAGGAAGAGGGATAGATGGAAATTAGTCAACATAGCTTTAATACTAGAATGCCTGTTACTAAAAGATAGATAGATAGATAGATAGATAGATAGATAGATAGATAGATAGATAGATAGATAGATAGTCACCTAGATATTCTTAAGATTTCCAAAATAACCCAGTGACTTAGGTGTTAGCTGCCATGACTTATTGGTTATGTACTCTTTGCTCTTACATCTTTCCTGACACCCTGGCATGGGAAACATGCTGGGCAACCAAGGGCTGGGGGGTCCCATCCAACATGTCAATCTGATCAATGCAGAATAAAAATACCATCTGGCCCGCAGTATTTGGGGTCTGTGACAGGCTTATAGAGAGTTGCATTCATCAGTAACTAGATGAAGTGTTTCCAACTAGCTGCATTCACCAGTAACTAGATGAAGTGTTTCCAGATCATATTTTGGTTAAGATATTCAATTGCTATTCGAGAAGTAAGGCCGGCACCAAAGCCCACAATCGGGGTGAGGGGCAGGAAATATGGTGAAGAGCACTGTTTTCCAAAGGTCATCCATTGGATTCCAGCCTCATCTAGTTTGTTTGTTTTTCCTTTTTTTGAACCACTGTTACTTTTATGTATGTAATAGTTTTCTTTTTCTCAGTTTATTTATTTTACTTAAATTTATTTTTAAATGCAATTCTATGTTGCTATATAAATGGAAACAGTAATATCACTTATTAATAGAAAGTATCCCTAAAAATATACACAATGAAGATAAGATGTGATCAGATTCCTGCTACATACTGTTATTATTTGCTCAAGACTCTGAGTCCAAGGCTCTCGTTTCTTGGTTGAAAACAGAGATTGGCCAAGTGTTAGAGAGGTGTTAAAGAGATACTAACACCTGACTGAGTTGCTCTCCACGTTTTAACAGAAGGTTGGATGAAAATTATAACAGAGCGCTTTCTTACTGTGTGTGTCTGTGCAATTAAACACCATGACCATGACCACCTAAGTCATCACCCACACTTTGGAAAATAGAGGCATAATGGGAGAACACAGACTAGGGATGCAGACTGCTCCTTTACAGCTCTGTAACTTTGGCAAGTGACTTTCTTTTTGATCTTCCATCTCCTTATTTAGTGAGAAGAATAACATCTTTATAATTGTTTAAGTAACTGTAAGAAAGAAGGAAATGATAGAATGTGTAAGCACCTAATGCAGTGGCTGGGCATAGTAAGCAGTCAAGGGATGGTTGATTAATTGACCTGTTTTCTCCCAGTTACTAAGACAATGGAGTAAAAGCAGTCTTACAAAATGTGCAAGTGATATTGCTACAATACCTCTGAAACAAGAACAGAATATTACATTATTATACTTCAATACTGGAAAAGTAGCCCCTTCCCCTCTTCATCCCAAGAAAATGTATACAGTTCTAAGGAGGAGAAAGGGGGAAAACTAACATATAAGAGCCCCAATATTGCCAGCTGCTCAACTGACATCACCTGGGTATACCAAAGGCATATGAATCTTGACATGCTCCAAACCCAAATCATCTTTTCCCTCCAAACCTGGGACACTCTCACTGTTGTTATTTCAATGAACCATAACACCATGTATCCCATGATGCAAGCCAAAACCTCACAAATATTTTGGACTGTCCCCTGACCCTTAGCTTCCTGTGCAATCCAGCATGGAGTCTGGTCAATTTCACCTTCAGTATCTCTTCAATCCATCCACTTTTCTCCATTATCACCAACCTAGTCCAAGCTAGCATCATTGTGATAGGTACTAGTGTACCAGTTAGAAAATGGGTTCCAGAGTCAGACTGCCTGGTTTTGAATCCTAATACCATAATTTATTAGCTGTGTGGCCTTAAGCAAGTTGCTTAACCACTCTATACCTTGGTTTTCTCATTTGTATAATAGAGTACCAACCTTACGGACAGGAGGACAGTTTAAATATGTAAATTACTTAAAACAGTGCCTTGTATATAATGAGCACTAAATAGGGGTTAGTTGTTTTTGGGTGTTATTGTTTAACATTTTACTATGGAAAATTTCAAACAGAGAGATTAGAGAGAATAATATAAGTAACCCCCACATACGCATTATCCCCAATCCATAGATTTTTATAATCTGCTTCTTTAAATCAAGATTGAAATAATATCTATATATTTCAACTGATTGATCAGTCTTAAACTCCTTTGATCTATGTAATCCTACTATTTTTTTCCTTGTAATTTTCTGTTGAATAGTGGCAACATTGTTCAGCAGAGTTTCACAAAGCATAAATTTTGCTAATTGCATCCCCTGTTGTGTTATTTAACATGTTCTTCTATCTTCTGAATTTTCTGATAGACTTAAAGGCTTTATCAGATGCAGATTTGATATTTTTTACAAGTATACTTCATAGGTAATATTGTGGTCTTCCATCAGAAGGCAGCTAAAGAATGGTTAACCCTCATTCTGTGATTTTAGCAACTATTAATGATCATTACCTAGATCCATTATTTCACTATGGATTGAAAAAAATGATAATATTCTAATTTTGTTATTATTTATTTGACAGCTAGAAGAGTTCTGTTAGGAGACGTGTTATCCTGTCAGTTGATTACCCTGAGGTACAGTATGTACAGGAAAAGAAGGATGAACGCATGATTTTTTCTCTTTATTTACTAACTTTCAAAATAATGAATTTATTCCAAATCATTCTCAAGAGGGTGACTAACTTTTTGTATCATTACAAATATAACTTACATTATTCATATTGATGCTTTCATTTTTTCATCTTTGGCCAGTAGTATGGTAAGGTATCCCCACCTTACCTTGCACATATCTGGCCTCAGAACCTGGAATTAGCAGTTTCTCTATGGAATCCAAGTTCCTTAAGTGGGTAATGGTATTTGGAGACCCCTGTATACCAGGTGTTACTACTATTTTGATCATTGTGTCTAGACATTTTCAGTGGACAGAAGTATGAAATAAATTGTTTTTCAAATATGAATTCATACTTATACCTCTAACTCAGTATCAGGACTACAGGGATTTTGTTTAATGTTTTATCTTGCATCTGTATTTCCTTTGTCCTATGCCTAGAATTCCAGTTTTCAAAGACTCCAAGGGCGACAGAATTAGAACAGCAGGTAGCTTCTCATTTTTCTTGTTCCACAATAGGTACAAATTACCCTCATGGTAGTTTTAGATACAAATGCAACACTTTTGCCAACAATGTGATTACTAAAATCATTTTAAGGTATCTAGTTTGTTTGTTTGGTTGGTTGGTGGTTGTTGTTTTTTTTTTTTTAAACGGATTCTCACTCTTGTCGCCCAGGCTGGAGTGCAGTGGTGCGATCTCGGCTCACTGCAACCTCTGCCTCCGGGGTTCAAGCGATTCTCCTGCCTCAGCCTCCTCAGTAGCTGGGATTACAGGCACCTGCCACCATGCCCGGCTAATTTTTGTACTTTTAGTAGAGACGGGGTTTCGCCATGTTGGCCAGGCTGGTCTCAAACTCCTGACCTCAGGTGACCCACCTGCCTCAGCCTCCCAAAGTGCTGGGATTACAGGTGTGTGCCACTGTGCCCAGCCTAAGGTATACAGTTTTAAAGTGTAATTAATTCTGTTATATGTGATTATGCCAGTAACTCAATGCATAGTTGTGTTCATTTGTTTCATTTTGTTTTCAGTTTTTATGAATTGATTTTTATAATTTAACGTTGCTTTATAATAATGTAAAGTATTTACATGGTTCTAAGGTGAAATCTACAAAACAATTTGTATTTGGAGAACTTTAGCCTCTATCCCTGTCCCCTCCACCTTTCTCCCTGTCTCTTCCTGTGAGTAACACTTTGTAACCTTGATTTAGCCTTTCACTTTAAAAGTGAAGTAGCAGCATATACATACAATTTTCTCCACTTCGCTTGTTTCATTAAACACTGTTCCTGACTATAACT